CTCGATGTGTGCAGTAGGCAAAATGCACCAAATACTCAGTTGGCTTGTTGCCAAAGCATCGCTGGGAGATGATGTCGCCGACCTCCTGAAAACCATCCATAGAAGGTGGGTCTTGCGTCCATCTCCCGGGAAAGTCGTCATGATCCGCTAGCGTGTAGAGAGCCAGTTTGGAGCAATGAAAGACTGGGTAGACAGGCCAGTGGCTAGGCACCTGAATCGTGAAGGAGGGTCCTTCGGGTGCGTCCCCAGCGGGCTCTATGATCGGCCAAGGCCCCATCCATTCCGGGAGGAGCTTGCGAGAGACGTCTTGTTCAAGGCTGAATTCCGCTGCTGAAACCCAGACGAGGTCTCCGGCGCGGAATGGACAAGGAAGACGCTGGCGATTTGCCTGTTGGCGCATGCGCTGTTGCGTCTTAGCCATTTGGTCGTGTGCCTTGACAAGAAGCTCTTGCATCCGACGCAAGAAAAGAAAATGGTCGTCGCTCTCGGCCGTGCGTGGAGTAATCGTGTCCAACGGTGACGTGACCGGCGAGCCATGCTCGAACTCGAAGGGCGATATCTCAATAGCCGGGTGGATGGAAGAGTTGTAGGCCAACTCAACGTCCGGCAGTCGCTCAACCCAGTCTTTCTGGTCGGGGCGGATGAGAGTGCGAAGGAGAACCTGTGCGGTCTGATGCGCCCTCTCCGTCTGGCCATCGGTCTGAGGGTGGCGAGCTGAACTAGGCTTGAGAGATGAGCCCCATCGTTTGATGAGCGCCAACCAAAAATCGGACATGAACCGAGTGTCGCGGTCGCAGACGATCTCCTTGGGGTAACCCTTGGTGCGAATCCAACCGGCGTACAGAACCTTGGCCAACTTCGGTGCTTTGGCATGATAGCGACAAGGCAAAAACATGGCGAACTTGGTGAGTCGGTCAAACACCGTGAGAATCCCATCCACTCCGGTCTTGTGCTTGGGGAACGGGCCGGTGATGTCCATGGCAATCGCTTCCCTTCGCCTCAACGGGACTGGCAATGGTCGTAGCTCACCGTACGGACGATGGTTGCGGGATTTGCAGCGTCGGCAAACCTCGCATGACTCGCAATAGCGCATGACGTCGCCGAGAAAGCCGGGCCACCAAAATCGCTGGCGAAGTTGGCCAATCGTGCGATTGACTCCAAAATGTCCGGTGGCGGGAGCGTCGTGGAACTCGCCAAGAAGCCGTGTACGCAAGTGAGGATCACTTGGTATGCAAAGAAGGTCCTTCCCCCGCGTGTGGACAAGCAAGTACCTCTCCTGGATCCGGTAGTGAGAAGGAGCCGGATTAGGCGAGGAGCAATTCGCGTACTTGTCGCGAAACTCGGGGTCGGCTTGGTAACCGCGGATGAAGCTGTTCCGCAGGTCATCGTCAATCTCGAAAGTCGAGTAGACCGCGGTACAGTGATCCGGACGCTGTGAAAGAGCATCCGCAACTTCTCGGGAATGTGATCGGGAAAGAAGTCGAACTGGTCGATGAAAGCCATCCATGGAACTATGGTGCTGTTGACGGTCTCTTGGGTCTTGTAGAAGACCAACGGATTGTTGTCTGTTACCCAGCGAAATTGGCTTCGACCAAGGAGGAAGTGCCGCCACCGCTTGAGCGCGTGGACGAAGGCGAGGAGCTCCTTCTTGCGTGCATCGTCAATGGAATGCACGAGTGGCACTTTCTTGCTGAAGTACTCGACCGGGTGCCAGTCCACACCATCATGTTGCTCGAGGACTGCACCAATGCCATAGCCTGACGCATCCGTAGTGACACGTGTAGGCGCGAGCGGGTCGTATATCGGCAAGACCTCCGCAGACAATAGCGCGGCTTTGAGAGCGAGGGATGATCCCCGCGCCTCCTCTCCAAAGTCAAACGGCCTATTCTCGCACTGAAGCTTGTTCAAGTGGGCCGCGATCTTGGAGTAGCCTTTGATGAAGCGCTGATAGTAGCCGGTAAGACCGAGGAACGAGCGGACATCCGTGACGTTCCGAGGCTCCGGCCACTCTTGGACGGCCTGAATCTTGTCCGATAGCGGACTGATGCCCTCCGGTGTGACAAAATGGCCCAAATATTCCAGCTCTTGCCGGACAAATTCGCACTTGTCGCGGTTGGCCTTGTAC